TATTATTATTTTACATAAGTTTTTATTGTGAAAATACTGAACAGAGGGGTTACAATCACATGAGCAAGGTAATGAGTACATTTCTTATCAAGCATTGTTGCCTCCTCCTTTGTTTTCCCCTACCATCACTTTCCTCCCACTCATTCTATTTTTAACACATTAGATAAAGCAACAACTACTATAAAGAAAACATGTAGCTATAAATATGAGAAAAATCATCTTTTGATGAAATACCCTGCAACAATATGAACATTTCATCAGTGGAACGCCCTGGAAGTATATATTCACCCAGTGAATATAAACTTTATTTATATCCTATCAATCCTCTAAACATGCACATCCTTCATACTCTGACCTCCATCCAGATCTATAATCCATTCTAATAACCACTGCTTAAGTTGTATCTTTACCACTAAAGTCCTCATTGTTATTTGAAGACTATTTTGGACTATTAGACATAAAGGTTTATGTCTAAGACATCTTCCTCTAATACTGAGAATCAGAAGAATGATTATGGTATTTGGTATAAATTTGTGCTTGGAAGGAAGGAAGGAAAGAGGCAAGGAAGGAAGGAAAGCTCAAATAAACAAATGACCAAAGGAACTGGAAAGACAGAAAAACATCAGAATAGTAGAAATGAAGTAAAACAGAACAAAATTAGAGAATTCAATGTATTAGCCACAGAGCTTTGGAAAATACATTAAGTACTTCAAGAAGAGTTACCTATGCTATGTCTAAATCATCACCCTCACTACCATTGCCACTGCAATTCAGTAAAGTTTAACACTTAACACTTATGACCCTTCTTCCTGAATCTAAATATGTCCCATTCTATCCTAAAACCAAAAAACAAGGCTCACTAGACCTTTCTGCCAGTACTCTTTCTTCCTGGTCTGTTGCTTCCAGTGCACTCAACTCACTAGCAGCCCACCCGCAGCATCTTCCCTCTTTGATCTTGCCAAGCCCATTTTCCCACCATTCTTGAAAGAATTACCCAAGTGATGGCTTCAATGCTGGATTCTCATGAGACTGCAGCCAGTCAGAAGTCTGTGCTGCCCTCAGCCTTGTGAGAGAATATGCCAGGCATCAGTGGAAACTCTCCAGTGAGGTTAAATTGGTAGGGGGTCAGGAAGTTCTGAATGAGAGAATACCATGGTTGCTGTAGGGCATAATTCTTTTGACTTGGAGCTTAATGAGCCTCCACTTCAACAGGACCTACGTGTCCTGCAAAACAAGAACAAGGAGGACAGAGCGGCACCATTTACCTCATCTGGCTGCCTGTTGCACAGGTTGTTGATGGGTGTCGAGGCATGGATCACAGTGACTCACCAAGAAAATAGGTCTAGTTATCAACCATCCCACCCCAAACAAGATACCTCCACATATATCAGCTAAGAAGGGACCAAGAAAGCATCTGCAAAGAATCTGAAAGGGTTTATTTCAGGAGAAAAGTTTTCTGTGCACCTGATTAAACATTTCTGCCTAGAGCTTAGGGCACAGTGATTGCAGAGAACCTCAGACAAGATAGTTAATGAGAGCAAAAGATGAGATGAATTTCATGGTATGCATCTGAAGGAAGACAATATACATGAATGCCCAAGCTCTTGTAACATTAAAGTACTATAATCTTTCCTTGACTAAGAGAATATTACCTGACTGATCCTGAACTTAGAAAGCTGAAATGTCCTCTAATTAGGATTTACTAAGTATACTAATGATGTTTGCCCTGGAAGAACATTACTCCTGAGGTAAAAGGAAAGGCCATGAACATATTTCTGAGCTGTAGCCACTGTAATGTATACACATGACAAGAGGAGATTATGCAGCATATCCCTCTGTCTTCAAGTCTAGACTTCCTTCAGCCATCTCCCTCTCAAGACAACTTGTCTACTTATGAACACTTTTCTTGGATTGGAAGTGTTCATAAATATTATGAAGAAACCACTGAACAATGCTTACCATATCTGTTTGAGCGCTATCAATACCTAATGTTTTATACTTAGACATTTTTACCCCCAAATGATTGGGATGTAATGGGGATGAGTCAAACAAAGCTCAAGAACAGAAAGTTTTCCTTTGAACAGGATAGGAGAGATAGGATAAATACTACCCGTGAACAAGTCAATCCAGCTCTGATAGTAGGAAAAAAGTTTTCTGAAAAGAAAAAGAATTGGTTTATTTTTTCTGAGATACAATGCCATAACCTTTATGTGAGAACTGATTTGGGTTCAGAATGGAAGACATTATGAGTCTTGTGACACTCTGCTGTATAGAGAAGATTTTATCTTGCTCTCCTAAGCAATGTTTCTACCTCTTTTAGCAATAGCAACTCAGAATTGTCTGATTCCATGTGAAAGTTTGAAGTAAATGAAAAACAACAATAATTGAAAGGCTCATGTGGGATATCTAGCCAATAGACACAATTCACTGGAATCCATTCAATTATTTAGAACTTGTTAAAATAGTAAAGCTACATGTTTTCTGGGAAAGCCCTGAGAAACAACTAAAAATCTCTTCAATGAATGCTCAGTAAAGCATCAGAGGACTGAAACATCAGGTAACTTTTAACAAGTAATGTTCACTAAGAGCTACAGATGAATCTCTTCTTCTTACATGTATTTTATTTCCATGGTTAATAACCAATTATCTCCTATAATGTATCCTCAGACACACATGACAAGAAGGCTGCAGACTTTGTTACTAGTTAGTTTCTAATAAACTGTTGATGGGTGTTGAGACATGGATCACAGTGACTCACCAAGAAAATAGGTCTAGTTATGAACCATCCCACCCTAAACAAGATACCTCCATGTACATCAGCTAAGTAGGGACCAAGAAAGCATCTGCAAAGAACCTGAAAGAGTTGATGTCAGAAGAAAAGTTTTCTGTGCACCTGATGAAACATTTCTGCCTATAGCTTAGGGCATTGTGATTGCAGAGAACATCCAGCTTAAGACAGCAATAGTAAAGGTAGAAACTCAAACTCCCAAAGGCCAGGATACAGAGTATAGAGATATACTGGGTACTAGGTCACATCCAAACCAGAGAAGAAATTGTTAACACTATATTACATAATTTAAAATAGAAGAGTTGATGCTGAATGTTCTCATCACAAGGAAATGCTAAATCTTTCAGATGATGGCTAACCTAAGTATACTAAGTTGATCAATACATAATATATAAAATATATCACAACATCACACTGCACCCTGTAAAAATGTGAAACTATTATCTGCCAATAAAGAATAATGTAAAAAGATACAGAGGTTTCTAAATTTGAACAGGGGCCCACATTTGCTTCTTGGGAATTGAACCAAAGGATGATTCAGACCTGCAGACAGGCAGCAGGGCCCAAGAAAAAAAGAGTCATGAGATACCAGTTTTATTCCTGGCTCTACCCAACAGTGGCCATGTAATTACCAACAGATCTCTTAGTCCCTTAGCTCTAAACACACACACACACACACACACACACACACACACACACACACACACACACACACACACACTTTTAATGTAGGTATAATTTTCTTGCAAAGAATAAGACTTTAATGTATAAGGTATCTAAAGACATCATACAGATACAAGGCTTCCTTTTTCAATGAAGCAACCTACTTATTTCTGAGATAGTAAAGTGAAGATGCAAGACATTGCCTGATATTAATACTTTAGGTTAAACAACCTGAAGTTAACATTTATGCAAATCAGGCTAAAGGATATCATGGGTTACATGGCACTCCTCCTGGTAAATTATGAGCCCATAACCCAACTCCAATAAGCTTTTCAGCACTTAAAAGGAAAGCAGAGGGAACTCGTAAGTCAGGAGATCTGAAAAATAGGACTATTTTTACTTGGGGACAGGAATCAGAAAACTAATAAGAGCAGGAAAGATACCTTACATACAATAGCCATTTGGGATTAACACTTGTATTTGGTCTCAGGTTCATAAAACTTTTGACTTGCTAAAATAGAGGCTCGTTTCCCTTAAAATAACTCAAATTTTAAAGTAGAATTTAGTATGGTGTGACTGTTTTAACCAAGTTACACTTTAGCATCAACATTTGCTAGAGTACACCCATTCCCAGATGTTCAAAACTTCTAAGAGTTGGTTGTACTTCATTATGATGACAACTGACATGCAAGATTAATTAATCACACCCAGCAATAAAGTTCCCTCTATTTCACATGAATACAGTTTAGTGTTGCAATTGAGTAACAACTACATGGAGACTAATCAGATTCATATTTAATTGTAAGCTTAATAGTTTGAGGGCTCTTGTATTTGTCAAGGGAAGGCTCCGTTCTGATACACTAATACTCGACAAGTTCTCCCCCACCACATAATTATGTTCTAAAAACTAGTCTTTGAGCCACAGCAATGATCTTGGCCATTGTATTCTCTTGTTGTAACTGTGAATTGGGTAATATCTTGTTCCAGACTTCCCAAGAGTGCTTTTATTCCCAAATGAATCTGCCAAATCCAAAAGGAAAAGGTGTGGCCATAAAGATGCATATTTGACCTATTATGAGACTAACTTCCCACTGAGCATGGGAGACAAGCACCATTCTAATTACAAGATACTTGCAGCACTTTAAAATATCTGGACTCATTTTCTAATTCTTCCAAAATAAAGCTTTAAATGATAGACATTCTGTTTATCTGCCTGTCTGTTCCTACCTACCTACCTACTTACCTGTCACAGACTTAAGGCAGGGCTACGTTCTAGGAAGAATTTGAGAGTACTTAGATTATACAAATGAGCAAATGGAAATTGTCCTGATTGTGGAGATTTTCTATTCTAGAGCAAAATAAAGGAACTTTCAGAGAGGAAAAATTGAAATCGGGAGTTCACTCACATCAGCACAACTATAACTGGAGTAAAAGATGGTACTTTCCTACTTGAAAGAGCATATAATCTGCAAATTCACCAACATGGGAATCACAGTCCTCTTCATTACCTAGCTCATTGACCCTTAGGCTATCTGAAAAAAAACCATACCTCTTCTTCCAGCTTCACCACCTTGGCCTGGGCATTACTCAGTGCCTGGTCTCGGATTTCAATGTGCCGTCTTTGGTCCTCATTTGTAGAACGGGCAGTGGCCAGTTCCACCTCCAGCTTCTCCTTCTCCCGCAGGCTTTCTTTATCTGTCAGAACATGTAATGTCAATACTGTCATCTTGGAACTGGCTCAAAGCCTTAACTGAGCAAAACTGATGAACATATTATTTGATAGCCTACTGTTCTATATACAAACAAATCAGAAGAGGATTTTTTTTCTTTGTATGTTCCTCCTCCACAGTATAACCCCTGTTTTCACTGTATTTGGTGTTGGTGCCCTGCATCTTGTATATACACTTCTCTACTTTGGGGAGGAGAAGGGAAAAAATAAAATGCTTAAATAGAGAACTAAGCTCCTTTCTTCAACTTTATTTATTCAAAATGTCTTTGCACTGGAAAAAGAGCAATCAAAACCAATAAAAAGTTCCCGATTTTTCCTCATTCTATAAATATATTGGAGAAAGAGAAAAGACCCAACAAAGCAGAGAAAATTAAAGAGTTCTAAAATAATTCATTGCAAAACTCTGTTCTGTTCAGATAAAAATCAAGCACTTGATTGAAGTGGTATTTCTTTTATGAGAATATACAGTGTGTCAATGTTTGTATGGGATGATATACCAAGATGGTTAAATAAATATTATAGTCTGAATCTGTTCTAAAAAGTTTAAAAAGGACTTTGACTTTAATACCTGCCCTGCTTTGACTTTGTTGACTTCCACATTATCCCAAGTACCACCTTTCCTCGGTTTTAATACTGAATAATAGGACCTCTGGTTTCTGATCTGGAAGAAAGACTTTAGGGTTTAAATGTCTATCCTAACAATGACCAAAAAGATGAACTGAAAAAGACAACTCTACTTAGATTCATCATCAAAGTGATTTCAGAAGGCAAACCTCTGTACTCAAAATTGGAGAAATAGACAGGTAGACAGGGAGAATCACAATTTAGGTGATTAGATTCCCATGAACAGAAACTAGGGAAACCAGCAACAGGCTTGAACCTGAACTATAATTAATGAATTGTTGGAGGCTCAGTGTGGGCAAGCCTGAGAGATAAGTCCATCCAGTGATGGTAGAACTTTGTGCTTTGCTGAGTTTAGCCTCCAGGAGCTCACAGTGATAATCAGAGAAAAATGGCCCTGTTATCAGCAGGAGGGAGGGAGGATAAAGTAACCATTAAGAAAGATACCACAGCATTCTGTTCTTGACAAGACATGCCCCAAGAGAAACTATTTAACCAGAACCTAAACTTTTGAATTTTTTTCAGCTCTTAACTAGTTTGGGGGAAGGGTAATACCCAACTCCAGCCTGTTCAAACCTGTCATGTGGGAAAAAGAAAATTCAAATCTAACCACTTTCTGATCATCCTATACTACCCACTGGGAGGAAAAACTGAGAAATATCGGTGAAAGTCACAATCCAGATGCCTAAGACCTCTGAAAGATTGAGACCTAATCATAGTACATGGCTTTCTCCCTTCCTGCCCCACATTGTTAGATCACAGACCATACTGCAGAGGTAAACTATGTTCTGAACAAACATAAAAAGCAGATATTACTCAAATACCTATATTCACAGTTCCGCTTACCCTATTATACATCATGCCTATAACTCATTAATGACAAAATAAGGCAATGTAAAATACACAATCTGAATAGACAAAGCAAGTATCAGAACCTTAGATGATCAATTCAAAATGATCACAATTAGCATGTTAAGAGTTTTCATTGTAAAAATAGCATGTAAGAACAGATGAGTGAGTAGTATACATAGAGATGTGGAATTCTAAGAAATTTCTAAAAAAACAGAATTTTTTAGTGGCGAAAATTATAACTCAGGCACTAAATCCTCTTATTTAACACATAATATTTTAAGAACCAAAATAAGATAATAAATTTGCTTAAATAAAAGAAACATTAGAAAATATGATGAAACACTAAAGGAACTTATTATATAAAGGATAATTATCTTCACCATGATTAATGACAATGTACAGCTTCATAAGAAGCCTTTCATTGAAATGTGACAGGTTTTTTTGGGGGGGAGTCGGTCATGGGGCTTAAACTCTGGGCCTGGATGGTGTCCCTCAGCTCTTCAGCTGAAGGCTAGCACTCTACCACTTGAGCCACAGCACCACTTCCAGTTTACTGGTGGTTAATTGGAGATAAAGAGTCTCATGGACTTTCTTACCCAGGCTGGCTTAGAACCATGATCCTCAGATCTCAGCCTCCTGAGCAGCTAGGATTACAGGCATGAGCCACCAGAGCCCAGCTGTGACAGGTTTTTATACTGATTTTTAGAATGAGAAGGTGACTCTCCAGACCTTTAAGAGTAGCAATTCTGTATTTTTAATGTATCAAATATCACATTGTAGCTACAAAGGACCATTGTGTATGTATATCTCATGCCATTCTAGTTTTTTTTCCTCTTACTACATAAAACCTCACACTAAAAACTCAAATGGGAAGATGAGTAGTTTGGATATAAGTTTGGAGGTTTAGCACATTACTTCAAGACCTTAAACCTTAAGGTTGTAGAAGAACCTTCAATGAGGCAGTTCTGTTTTTCTTCTCACCTTGACTTCATGTACATCTATCTGAACAGATGTATCTTGGAAAGAACTGAACATTTGTTGAATACTTACCATATACCAAGTATTGTACTAAGTTAATCCTCAGAACAACCACAAGGCAGTTATAATTTTCTTCTTTATTTTGTGTATAAGAAAACACACATATGACTAAGTTGCATAAGGTCCCACAATTGGTAATTAAGGAGTAGAGTCCATAATTAAATGTGGTTTATACAAAACTCATTCTATTATACTCAACCGCATTCTGGGTTGAGTTGCTAGTGTTCTCTGGAATTGCAGAAGCTTACTCTACAAGAAAGCTTTTCAACAGTTTTTTCTTTCCTTCTGCCAGATTTGGGACCTTGCAGGGCCTTGTCATGCTCTCTTCACCACTTAGTTCTATGACTATTAACAGACCATCTTCACATAGTTTGATGTAGTAAATCACCACATTTTAAAAGCCCATGATAGAGCTCCTAGGCCACCTGAAATACCCTCTGTACACAGAGAAGAGTAAAAGCTAGCAGATTCAAGGCAAGAATCCCTATGTTTTGCTTGGTTCTGGGAAACTGCTACCCTCATTCTGCTTCTGGGGCAACTGCCACACCACAAATGCAACTTTACAACAATTCACCCAAGGTACTGATGAGACAGAAAACAACATTTTTTTACTCTAATCTAAGACTACCGAAAAAGGCAGAAGGCTTAGTGCAAAGAGGAAGAAAAAAAATCAGTTCTGGAATGAAAGCACAATACAGAAACCCAGGCAGAGAGGCAAATACTGTAACAGAAGATCAAACAAACTTGTAAAAGCTACCTGAAAACTGCATGAAATGACTTGAAAGGGTCATTGGGCAGCCCAGCAAAAATGGAAGACAAGTCCCTTCCAAGCAAGACTACACAGCAAGAGGCACAGTGAGGAAGGCTGGGGGCAAGGGAAATCAACTTCAGGCATTGGAGAAATGAGAGCAGTTCATCTGTTTCCCCTAACTCATTCTCCCTGTGGACTCAATACACTATGAAGTTTTTATTGCTGCTTTTATTACAGCAATTGGAAAGAATTGGGCATTGTCTAGCTGGGTGGAGTCCATTAGGGACCGATAAAGAAAAGAATTAATTCATTGTTACAGTCCTAGATGTATTTTCAGACAAAGGAAACACTATAATGAGGAAGACACAGCTCTGCTCTGCTCCATACCATGCAACTCTACAATCAGAATCACTAATTCAGGACACAGAAGTGTACTACCCACCCCACTCTTGCAGTCTGCCAATGCATAATGATATCATATAACTAAGGACTTAACTAAGGCAGCCCTGGCTACAGGTTGGAGATTCCAAACACAAATCAACAGGCTTGTATATTCATCCCATGTCTACCAGAGCTAGCATATGTAACCAACTAAGGAAATTCCTTCATTGCTGAGGGAACCCATGTGGACTAATATCTTGTCTTCAGCTAGCCATGATAACAGCAAGAATTCTAAGGGGTTTCTCGGACTTAATACAGAGAGAACCATTTGATATAGCTAGATGTTGCCACAAGCTGGCCCCTTGACCTATGAGGAAAAGAACAGAAGCTTCCAATTTCATGCATGAATAATGGGAAAAATCTAAATGACATTTATTCTGTTCTGGTTGTCCTTAAAAGCTAGAGAACTGTGTAACCTTTTAACATACCTCATTGCCATCAGATATTCATACCAGTTATGGGAGCTTTTAGACTTACTTTTTGCAAAGAGTTGAGAAATGGTTTTTCTTGTGTCCTCTGATCCCTCATACTCTTTCTCTGCAAGCTGCTTGTTGGCAGTCTCTAGACGTTCTGTGGAATTTGGAGACAATCAACAGGGCCTCAAATAAAAACTTCCAAGCACATGATGTTTGCCCTCTAAATACTGACCTTTCACAAAACAAGCCAGTATCTTCTTGTCAAACGAAAGTGAATGACACAAACTTAGATTTACAAATGTGAATCTCAAAACAATAATAGAATATGGCAGGGATCAAGGAAGTACTACTTAACATTGTTAGTCCTAAGTACAGAACTTTAAGTTTCAACAAAATAGTCCACTCCTGACTATATATAAACATACATCACATTAACCAAGGAAAAGAATATCACTATTATTAAGGAGTTGGGGAGGTGAGGAAGGAAGGGATGGTAGGGGAAAAATAAAGTAGGGGGCAACAGTGCTTGATTGGAAATGCACTCATTACCTTACTCATATAACTGTAACCCCTCTGTACAGTATCTTTACAATAAAATATGTTAATATAAAAAAGAAGTTCTTAAAATCATATCATCAAGTTAGGGATCATGGCAGCATCTAGACCAAGCCCTTTGATTTTATAGCTAATTAAAATTTAAGATAGAAAATATTCCCAAGGTCAGTGTTGATGATGGCTTAAAGCGGAAATATTTCCCAGATTCTTCAGTATCAAGTGAGGACAAACATAAAAAGGGAGAAATAAGGCCTAAAAATAACAGACAGCATTGCTATTTTAAAGCTTGTACAAGCAAAAGGCACACCTGATAGATCTATAAAGGAAGAAATGCTGAACCAAATCATGGGAGTGGACAAATGGGTTCAAACTTCCCTAGTCATGACTAACTGTCACTTAGATCAGCCATCTTCAAACTATTATTTCATTCACACACCACACACACACACACCATCCTGGTATAGGTCTTATAATTTTTCTGACCCTACCAATGGGTTGGACAAACCCAAATAGACTGACTCCTTCCTCAGCCCTTTCTATCACTACTTTGTAACTATCTCAGAAACATAAAGCCAAAAGCTTGGTATGGAGGTCTGTCGGTAACTTCAGAACACAGGATTTGGAGCAAGAAGACCATGAGTTTGAGGACAGCCTAGTCTACACAAAAGAACTACAAAGTAAAGCCCCTTTGTTCTCTTACCTCTCAGATCCCTATTGAAGTCATGCATTCTCCGAATCTCGCCTTCCAGCTTATTCCTCATGGCTTTCTCCAGAGCTTCTCTTTTAGAGGAAGACTTCACAAGGTTCTCATATGCCTCCGAGACACGCTGGATTTCTGTCTCCACCTTAACATAATAAAGAAAGATGGTGATGATGATGGAGAAGATAGTCTGGAAACATGCAAAATCTCAGTGACACTTTCTGCCAGGGCTTACAAATGGCCAGGCCTCAAGCATAACACAGACAGAAGTAAAGATTTCAAAGATGACTTTCCAAGTTCAACCACAAGCTCAGCAAATTAACTCACTATTTCATGAGATTTCTTCAGAAAAGGCTATTGCTATAACTATCCTGCTCTACCTATTTAAATAGTTTCCACTTTCAAAGAAAGTGATAAGATAGTATAAACTTCACAAATAGGATTATAAATGATTTCTGAAAACAAATTTATCAACTTTGAAAATGTTAATAACAATGTATACTGTATGCAAAAATTTCAGAGCATTCTAAGAGTTTTCACATGCTCATTTCAAGTTACCCTGACATCTGCCTAGGCAACGAAGTGAAAGTAAAATTGCCTTTCCCAAGAGCAAGTTAGAGGCAGAGATAACCCTTAAAAACCCGAAACTTTAGTGTCATGAAGTATAATTTCATTCAATTTAAGGGACATTTAATCAAGAACCCAGTTAAAAACTGGTTAACTGGGATGTAGAAATATGAATGATTATAGTCACATTATCCTCAAGCTTAAGGAGCTTTGAATATATTCAAATCAAAGAACAGAGGTCAAGATATACCTTTAAGATGGTCCAAATTGTTTATCCAGACCTGTTGACATTGCAAAAAGTAGCATAAGGGAGTGTGATAGAGGAAGGTGAGTTTGATCTGGATACGTTGTACGAATGTATGGAAATGACACAATAAACCCTTCCTTTACAATTAGTGTATGCTTATAAAAATCATAAAAAGAACTAATAGTGCTATAAATCACCAAGAATGAATAAATGTTATTCATGGTTGGAGAAGGAAAGTAAAATGATTTCAGGGAGAGGTGGCATTTAGAGTCATCCTCAATGTTGGGTCAGATTTCAATGGACAGAGGTGAGGGGAAGGATATTCTATTCTGAGTGAGCAAATACATTCCCAGAATGACTAGTAGTCTCATTTTGCTGGACACTGTGGTGTAGGCAGAGGGAAGCTAGAGAAATATGGCGATCAAGATAGATGGAGTCAGATCATTAAAAGGTTTTCATGTGAGGCATGTGAACTTTTTTAGCTGAAATTCATGATTAGATTTGTGTTTTATGACACTCCTGTAGATCTTGTCAAATAAAAGATAAAATTTAAGATAAAAGGTCCTGTTAAAATCAGCTAGAAAACAAGAAATTAGACTCCAGAGTCTCTCTAATCAGTAGAGCTCCACTGCACACATAAAAATCAAAGATTATTTGCATATAATTTGTATAAGACAAATAAACCGTTGGCCTATTAAGCAATTTTCAAATTAAGATTGACTCCTGCAACCATTCTACATTTCTTCTCAGTTTTCTACTATCATCTTTATACAAAGCTCAGGGTGCTTTGTGGGGAGAAATACCAGGTACCCAGTGAGAAATTGGAGAGAAAGGTAAGGTTACCAAACAACTCAGGTTCAGCCTGTCCCCATCTCCAAAATCCTGCCAGTGCCTTCAAACAAATGAGTCTTATTATCATTGAAAAAAGCAGACTTGAAAGTGTTTTGCTCCTTGCATATGGCACCATAATAGCAGCACAAAGGTGAAAATTGGTGAATGACCTTTAGAGCCAGATCTATCATGCCTGTGCCTGATGAAGCTTTGGCATAAAATTCAAGTGCTAGGTGGAGAAAATAAATATTTTCATTTCAAAAAGTAAGCTTGATGCTCATTGCTCTACATAGTCTTGAGATAATGATGAAGGCTTCCCACTTCCTTGTGTCCTATTTCTTCACACATGCCACATCTGGAAGACAGTTCCTTTACCAAGGTACTCAGACTACTACACCAAGACCTGGTACTCATTTCTCTCTATCTTTGTGAAGATACTATCCCTTTCAGAAGGGCAGGGCAAGCCACACATGAATCAATATGGTGTTCCAGGAAAAAAAACTCGTAGGGTGACAGAACCACTAGCTTGGCCTGGGAAACTGCAGGGCAGGGTAGACTTACATTGTTTACTTATTACCATCATGAACATCAGGTACTGTAATATATTTCAAAAACCATCTAGTGTCTACCTTATGCTCCCACTTTCTTTTTCCTCTTTGCCATTACCTGTACTTGCCTTCCACTTCAGAGTTGGCCCAGATTCCCATTTCTCCTGACACTTAAACACAGTGCCAATGGTACTTATTTGTATCAACTTTCCACATCGAGCAAACAAAAAACGATGAAAAGCTATTCTTATCCTCTTCCTTGTCTCCCACTCTAGTCCCTAAAATGACCAAATAGATTCTTTGGTAAAGAGCCATCATTAATTACATCAAAGATGGGGCCAAGGTAACCTTGAACTAAGACTATAGAGAAGGATGTTAACTATATAAATCTAGTCACTCATACATTTCTTGTACATGTGGATAGAATTTCTTGTGCAAATATAATATGGGACAATGGTAGAGTTAAATTCAGAAGAACAAAAAGAAACCACTCTTTTTGCACCCCTCCCCCATAGCTTCCATCTAGATATGAAAAAAATGAGAAGATGCAGTTTTGCCACATAGAACTACTTTGCTGATTACAAGCCTTTTTCTACTTTAGGGCACAGATGTGGTACTGGCAAATTCAAAGCATCATTTAGGCCCATGAAATTGCCACTTCTGGTGTCTTGTAATGACTGTGCTCTTGACTAATACAAAGGCAATTGCCCTTCTCTCCTCCATCTTTAGAGTCTTACCTCCTTCAACAGTGTACATTGCAGGGAGATCATGCCACTCCATAATGGCAAAGCTGTAAAAAAAAAAAGCTGCCAAAGACAAAGCCTCTTTTCACCAACAGTCACTAGAGGCGAAGACCTAAAGTTCCTAGCTTGGGGCATGTAAGAGTTAAATTCCCAGCTGCAGAAGACAAGAAGGGGCCAGGAAGAATGTGAACTGGGGACACACACTCTTTTTTCTATTTCCTTAGCTTAGGGCCGTCACCTGTCACCCAGCTGTGGTGCTAAGTCCTTCTTGACCCCCCACACACAGTAGAAAAAAAAGACAGCAGATGTTAAATTGAAGCTATGGAGAAGAACCAAAGCAAAAGGAGGGAGGAGGTCCTGTGTTGAAAAAGCATACCAAGAACTCCCACTAGGAAGTGTTCACTGAACCCTTTCCTAAACAAGGCAGGCCAGGCACCAACTTCAACTGGGGAAATTTTTCTAGAAATTATGAACTATGGTTTTATATTTAAATGGGGGAAAACAGAATCAATACATAAGTGTTTCAAATGCTGCCAAATTCTCCCAAGACATAGATTCACCAGTATGAAGAAGTACCATTGCTGCTTTTGAAAACTGTAGAACAATCAGTTATATCTTGTTTGGGGAAGTGGGTTCTGAAGAAGCTATGTAATTTTTCCTTCTAATATAATTATAAAATATAATTTTCCTATAGTCAGAGGATTGTTTCAAAGTTGGACCCCATTAGATATAAAATCTCCCCAACCCTCTAAGTAATGTAGGAATATTAAGTTCTACTAATTTATAAAATTTAAAGGAGGCCCTTAATGTCCCACAATGGGAGCCTCACCTTCTGCAGTCTTGCCACCTTCTCATAGCATCCTTCCAACTCCTGCCTTAAGTTCCGGTTTTCATCTGAGAGGATCTCAACCATCTGCTGAGCTCGTGAGACAATGGCAAAAGGGTCAGCTGGCATAGGCTGATAGGAAGCAGACTGCTGAGCCCGAGGCATGGCTGAGTAGGCTTCTCCTGGCTGTTGCTGCTGCTGTGCTGAAGTCAGGCCTGGCTGGGAGAGACGGTAATGATCCCCCTGGTGAGCCTGACTAGAAAGAAAATGCTGCTGTGACCTAGGTAGGTGAGCTGAGTGGTCACCTTGGTTTGGGACCAAGGTGTGTTGGGCAGGAGACAATCTAGTAGATGGAGGAGACTGCAGCAAGGGCAAGGAACTCCCAGATGTCAGAGAAGAAGTAGGGCTGTGAGGCTGAGAGTTCCTGGCTGACAATGACAACGAGATGTCCTGTGTTGGCCTGAAAAACACAAAGGGCAAACTTTGGTTAAGTTCTGTCCTGAGGCCCAAGAATGTTACATGAGGAAGCACCACGAGGCCACCTGAAAAATGAGGAATAGACAAGAGTTAGACATTCCCAGCCCAACTTTTTATGACTCTGCTTGACAAACAGACATGTGATCTCTTGGCGCATAGAACCAGATGATCCCTGAGATCACTTGGTAAAAATCTAAAAGATGTATGTATGTCTCTATACTCATTGCTTAGGCATTCTCAAAGATTCCTCAACAAAGTGATTTTCACCTCATTGTTTTAAATAAATCTGTTAGAAATAACATTTTATATGCTGTCCAGCATACATAAATATTCAAATTCAACAAACCATCAAAAAACACCCTACAGCTGGGTGCCTGTGGCTCACGAATGTAATCCTAGCTACTCAGGTGGCTGAGATCCGAGGATCACAGTTCAACTCCAGTCTGAACAGGAATGTTCGTGAGACTCTTATGTCCAGTTAACTACCAGAAAACCAGAAGTGGCACTATGGTTCAAGTGTTAGAGTGCTCACCTTGAGCTGAAGTGCCCAGGCCCAGAGTTCAAGCCCTGCAACCGACCAAACCAACAACAACTACCTGTGAAAAATCATACATTCATAAAAAATGTAGTTGAAGAAGAGGTTTCCATTCTATGGGCCTTCAAAGATATACACCTGACATCAAATACTTACTGTTTTTAGTAAATATTTTGTGGTTATTGATCTTTTTATGAAGCCCATTAGCAGTAATAATATTACAATTTGGAAAAGCATACTATTCTTCTTGTTCTAAATTGTAAAATATAAGGACTAACAAAGCCTTTAAAACTTATTTATTCAAATTCTATCATTGGACAGGGGGAAAATAAGACCTAGAACAGGTAACCAACCTTCTAAGTATTAGATAGAATTAGTAGTAGTGCTTTCCCAGTTGCCATTCTCTAGTCTTTTGAGATACAATGCAGTGATTTCTATATGCTGAATCTTAGATCTTCAACCTACCGTTGACAAAGTTCTACCATGACCACTACCACGAATAACTATCTATGATTATTGAAGACAAAAAGCTTGTTCATCCCCTCCAGCCAATGCCCAGCTAACCTCATTTGCTCCCATATCCTGTGGATGCTTGTCCTGCAGTTGACACTTCTCAATCCAATGAGGACAGATGGCTAAGAGCATGGATTTGGATCCTGACGGGGAGAGTTTAGAGACTTTTTCTACTGTTCACTAGTTGTTCAACCTTGTTCAAATTACTTAATCTGCATGAGCCTATTTCCTGAGGATACACATAAACTAAAAATACTAGGTTCTTCATATTTTTTAGTGCAATAGTAATTTTGACTCTCACCAGTGATAGTTTGACCTTGTTAGCATTTTACTTATGTGTTATTCTTTATGCTAATTTGCTTAAAATTGATGGTGGAACTAGGACAAATTACCAGGACCAATTAACTTTTTAAATGGCATTCCAGATGCTAAAACACATCCCTTCCCCATGTACTCCAAATACAATTGTAGATCATTTTTTTCTCCACAAGAGCTCCTGACTATTAAGGGCTTTTTACAGCTACAAAATGATTCCAAACACTTGCTATGGGCACTCTATAACCTAGATGGTCACAAAATTATTGATCCTGCTCATACCCTCAGTTTTGTTCCTTGGCCCCTGTTTGCTTCCATTGTACCCGAATTCTCCCAACTTCATATATATATGTCACTAAAATAATTGCTGAATTTTGGAGAAGACATGAAGGCTACTTGAGTATAGAAGAATTGACATAGAATTGACATGATTATAACTGGAAACTTTCTGCCATGCCTAATCTTTCTTTCCAAGAGCTCAAAACACTCAGTCCCCTTAAAAGCCTGGGGACTGTTTATAAATGTAGTTGAAGAATAGGTCCCATTTTCAATTCTATGGGCCTTCAATTTTCTCAGATTTAAAATGGACTCTGTGCTCTGTTCTCTTGAAGTAAGAGCTATTATAATTTTATAGGTATCCCTAGAGTTCAAACATAATGTGCTGGGATTTGCTAGAGGTTTTGCATCTCCTAAGTAGAAACTGAGGGCTTAAATTTCATGTTGCTTGATCTACTTTGAAAATTTAAGAAAAATTAGTGTATTAACTTTCATCCTTATTCTCAGAATTTGAAAAGCAAATGCTCGGGAAGTATTCACTTTTAAAGACTAAAGACCCAGTTCTGGACTGGGCTTCTACTCAGCTCCCCTGGATCCCATAGAGCAAACCATGACTTTTTCTTAGAGTCGGCCACTGGTCTTCCTCCTGCCTGGAGGCTGAAAGACCTTTCCAGGCCCTGGACGGTATACAGTCTCCTAGGAGCATAGGAAAGGAGGAGACTACAAGGTTTCCTGGATGAGTGGTTCTGGATTAGATAAGCCCAGTATGAAGATAATCAGAGATGAGGCAGATGCAGCCCTTCTCAGTTCCCCAAGCTGGAAAAGGAAGTATATCTCAATGCACTGTGCTGTTGGAAAACCCAAGGAAGTTCATCACTGGCAGGTTTGCAAACAAGCAAAGGCTTTGGCCGTCACAAAAGAAAAATCTCTCCAGCAAAGAATTCCATCTGGGCTTCAGCATCCACCCACTATCAGTTGGAAAGCAGGACAGTCTTAATGGTATAATGAATTCCCCTCTGAGAAAAGGGGGCTGAAGAAATAGGGAGAGAATTCTAGAGGATGTCAGAGGAAGTAAAAATACACTCGAGAATTTAAAAATAATAACAGAAAGAGAAATGACAGTAAAAATAAAAGTAGTAGCCACTTGAGCAGCACACTCTTCAGGTCCTTCCATAACACAGCAGCTGGAAATGATCCCCACAAAAGAACCACAGAATCATATGATATCAGGGAAGATCCGATCTGCTTCCTCATATACTTCCCCACCCTGCAACCTGCTCCTTACTAAGACTACCTGGGCCACTGCACTGGTGTTCTGTAGAAAATAAGGGAATAGACATTAATACAAGACAGAGATCACTGGGAAAAATCAATGTCCTTAAAGCCAAGGGAGTAGAGTGTGTGGGGGATGGGTTGGGGAAACACTCTTCTAGAGACAGCTGGTAAAGACAAAGAGAAAGTCAAATCCACTCAACCCAGCTGACACAGCACCTTCTACCCTGCTACCACCTCTTTGCCTGGAAGCCTTCACACCTCCACTCCCAAACACACAGAGAAAACACATACACACACATACACAGCTGTCCACATGTATGAAACACTGCCCCCCCCCCACAGACACATTCTCATTAAAACAAATACCATTAACAGCCCGAAGCCAAGTTCTCACCACTAAAAAAGAAAAAAACTGTGCCTGTTCCAGGCTCTGAGTTGGTGAATCTGTGAATCCTGGAGAGGACTGCAAATTCTGGATGGTTCGTCTTGCACAACCAGCTCTGCTCTGAACCACAAACTTAGGTCACCCTGAGATTCCACTCAACAAGGATTTCAAGAAACCTCAGATCTGGGCATGATTTCAACAACTGAAAAGAGGTGGCTGCTTTATAAACAGAAATGACTTAATTTTTTAAAGCAGTTGATAAATATATAAACCACAATCCACAAAAGCCTTACCACTTAGAAAGACAAAGAATCAAAAAGTTAAAAATTCTTCAGATGGCTTGGCCTTGTTTTTCATCTGGAGCTCCACACATTCAAGATATTTTTTTAAGTAGGAAGGAGGACATAGGGAAGATGAAGTAATCAAAGGATTGTTTATAACATTTTGTTCATTTTAAGAGCAAACCTCCAGCATTGCATGCCTAAAGGCAAACAAGGTTTTATTTTAAATTATCAGTTCAAAAAGTTTGTAGATTAAGAAGTTAGCCTTTGAATTCTTTTCAGCTAGCAGTAGTTACTTGCAAAGGTATTCACAAACCAAGCTGTATAGCTAATCTGTTAAAGAAAAGAAAGGAAAACTGTGTCACCACCTAAAAGTAGTACACTTCTGGAAAGCTGCTCAACTACTACCTCTGGCCAGGAATCTGTCAATAGGTACCACTCCCTCATACAGTATATGCAAAAAAACTTACAACCATCAGTTGCTTGATTTAGACCAAAATTTCAAGCCAACTATACACGGATTTGGGCTGTTTCATTATTCACTAAGCATACCAATCACACAGCTACTGTCCCATAAAAAAAGAACTATTAGATCATACTTGTATGTTAAAATACTGAACAAGAGCTGGGGATTTAGTGTACTGGTAGAGTACTTGCTTAGCATGCTTGAGGCCCTTGATTAGATTCTCAGCACCTTTTAAAAAAGGACAGGTCAGCATAGTTTCTGTCACTTCAGGGGACAGGAGAATGATAATCTAAAAATCCAAATAATTTAAATAATAATCTATAAAAGAAGAATAATTATAATACCTTCCTAGAAAAAAAATATGTAAACTAAATTTCTCTGGTGACTTAATCAGTATGGGAAGAAAAAGAAAAGCTCTTTGTCTCATTATTTATTTAGGCAGATCAAAGGGCTTTTCCATCTAGCTTCAAACACTGTGGGAGTCATTTCAGATCTCAAACAATACTGGTGAATGAGTTCTGAAAATAGCTTTCCTGGGAAGGCGGGCCATATGCTGAGCCAGGCTTTGGCTTCTGCTCCACATCTCAGCCAACACATGCCCCTCCCACAAGGCAACAAACCATAAGCCCATCCCAGTATGAGAGGGAGTCCCACAGACTCTTCCATACTGATCTGAAAAGCAAAACAAAATCCCCCAGATTCTTTGATATTTTTCTGGCTTGAATGAGTTTCCTCTGAAGTTTTCAGTCCAACAGAGCACTCCCTCCCTGTGTCTTCAGTTTCTTTGGGCAGATGGGAATGGAGTTCTTGCTCTAGTTTAAATATGAATGGCCTCTCTGCTTATGTCATTTCCTGTTCTAACACACTTATCACAACTTAGGGCTTGGGCTCTTTGAAAGCTGCCTTTAAAGGGTTAGAAGATCAACATGGTTAAGCAAGAAAAAAAATCCTAGATCAGCAAAGTTAGAGGAGGAGCCCAAAGTCAATTGCCTCTGGTTAAAAAACAGGATCTGTATCAGGAAGAATGAATTATCAGGATATGTCAGGTGACTTCTCTGACTTCCACCCTACTCCATCCCGTGACTTCAAACCAAGACCTTCTATCCCAAAAGAGTAAGGAGAGGAGATGAACATCAAAGACATCATAGACCTATTCCATGGGTCACCTAGGCCTTCAAATATTATGACTAACAATCATTACCCTTGCAGAGAGCACAAACAACAACCATAACTGCCATCACTGCCCATGGTTTAAGTCTTCTGCCCCATGATATAAACTATATTGACCAAACTCTACAGAAGAAAGACAAAGCAGTCTAGACTATAAGAACCTCAAGAAAGACAAGGTGAGTCATATTCTGAACCTGCCCATGTACATAATTCCTCCATAGTATGTGGCTATTTAATGTACAAAAGAATCACAATATCTGAAAAAGCACAACTAATTGAAACAGATTTGCTTGTAAAAATAAGTGATAAGATATGTATGGAGGGGAATGCTTGGAAGTAATGGGATGCTACAAACTAAAGTCTAAGATAAATTTGTTACTGCTTCCCAAGAAAATGTTTAATAACTCAGATGAGAAACATTCATCTTTCTTTCAATATCCTAGGAGAAAAGAGCCAGTAGCTGCTAAAATCAAGACTGCCTTTACACTTCTAGGTAGTCGAGGCCATGTCCAACCTATAAAGTCAAGGGAATGTTTAATAGAGTGCTAACTATAGCTGATGACACTAGAAATTAGGAGTGACAAGCAATTTGCTCAGCTGAGTGGGAGCCATGCATTGCAGAGTTTGTTATACCATACACCTGCTCATTCCTTCCCTTAAGATTCCCAACACACAGCGTCAGAAGCTGGTTGGGGATGAAGTCAGGAAATGACAGAAAGAGAACTATCTTACCTGGCTGCCCCATACTCAGGGGGGTGCTGATACCTCATCAGTTGCCCCTCTGTTCTCCCTGGCTGGTTCAGGCGGTGCTCACTATAGAAGTGCCCTGGCTCTTGGGGCTTGCACACTACAGACTGGGATGGCATGCCCTTGAAAGGATACTCTGGTGGGGGCCCACGGTGTTCCATGCCCTTCAGGCTATGCTGGTTGGGAGGTAGCCCTTGGGACTTGTAGAATTCACTGGCACTTGTAGGATTCTTGTAGAGGTCATTGGGTTGTGGTGGGGAGAGGGGAGTGCTGGTAACAGGAGGATGGGCTTTAACTCCACTGGTGGCTAGTGACATCTGCATTAAGCGTTCACTCAGGGAGCGGACATGCCCTTGCTTAAGGTCTCTTAGTCCTTCATCCTGATGCATCTTTCCAGGATTGAGCCGCTGAACAGATGGGCGTCCTTCGGTCCTCATCTTCTGGTTAGTGACCCCAGTGACATAGAAGGCAGCTCCAACACTGGCATGCTGTTGGCCACGAAAATACTGAGACTGCACCTTGGCTTCTTCATAGGTAGGGAGTTCTTCATTATTCTGCATTCTAGAGGACAGCTGTTTCTCCATGATAAGATTTTCTGATTGGATTTCCTGGCCCTGGGGTTCCTGTCGAGCAGGGTGTGCCACAAGCTGTTGGTGGTGGTCTTGGGGACTCAACACATCATTCTGAGGGCTTGGGTTCCCATTGCCAGTGGAGAAATGAGGGGCGTTCCCTGTGGCTTGCTGGTGTATGGCAAGCAGATTGCGATTCTCACTAGGATTGCCATAGCGCAGTTGCTCTTGTAGCAAACGCTGCAATACTGTGGTTCCTCCACTTGGCTGTTCATCAGAATTTCTCATCTCTATCGCAGGTGGTGCCTTGTGAAGAGAGAGAGAAACTGGGCACTTGGGCTGCCCTTGACCTGGGAAGGGGAAACAGGAAGCTTAACACCCATGTTGATGGATAAATCAATCCTCTTAAAGGGATAAATATAGCTGTTTTGGAGGGATTTTTCTACTGCAGAAACAGAGTATTGAACTTGAAAAAATAATCAATCAATTGCCGGGATTACTGCCTGTAATACCAATACAGTGAGAAACTTGGGGTTGTAGAGCTTTTTCCTCTCCTTTTTAGTAGGAGTTAAATATCCAGTCATGATTTACTTCCTCCTTAGGAGGACTGAGGACACCTGGAATGGTCAAATAAGATGATCAGAATAGGTTAATTTTCCAAGGTCCTTATATATAAGGTTCATTTCTAGGCACAATTTAGACTAAAACATCCCAGTCTTGTGGCTATGTGGGAAGAAGAGGCAATTGGGGAAAGTTACTCTATAAACAGTATTTGTAAAGGAGTTTAGCATGTGATGGAGGAAAGCTTAGTTTACACCAAATAGAAATGATCCCTGCATAGATGCAAATGCTTGTCTCAGATTTCATAGATTATAAGATGTATCTTTTGTATTAAAAAGAAAGATTTTTTTTCAAAGTCCATTTTGGATGCTCCATGGCTTAATACAAGAATAGCTTGGGTCAGAGAGTAGTTGCAAATATTTCTTAAGTCATCAAAGCCATGAAAGTACTTTATTGTTATTATAAGGTAGGAGGGGCATAAAGAAACACCACTTTCAAGTGAAGTGTGCCTCTGAGGACATTAAGAATTTGAAAAATAAAAAGGTCATCCTTTCAAAGTTTAATCAAACTATGGTGTGCTAGTAACCTAAACAAGTAATTCCTCTTTCCTAGACTAATATTTTCTTTTCTGAAAAAATGAATGGTAGGCGATAATGTACTTCCTTTCCTATCAGTGATATATAGTACATACATAGTACATTCATTGGCAACAAAAATTCTTTGTAATCTGCCATGGAAAGTACTGAAATTCAATACTAATATTACATTCTGAAAACTTTCACTCTAAGAAGCTGAAGTAATTTGGTAAGAATGGATATGATATCATAGAAAGTCAATGAAGGTCAACCTAACCAGCCCTAGGTTTCTAGATGAAAACCCTAGAATCCTCAATCACTTCTGACAAATACTTAGTTCTATATTAATTAGTCTCCAAACTCTCTGGAAATACAAACCAATCTCCTTAGTGGTACAAGAGTATAACCCAGAATACATGGAGGTGGTCATCTTCTTCAGTTTACAATTGTTTTATTGAGCATTTTGGTCCCTCAACCTTCAACTAGTGTTTTGCTATTTATTTATTTAGATTTGTTCATTTACTTATTATTTATTTAGCAGTACTCAGGATGCAACCAAGGCTTCACACAAGCTAGGTAGGCATACCAAAATACCCCTATTCTTTTGAGTAGTGTATGCCAAGAACTAGTAGACTGAGCAACTCGATCTGTAGTCCCTTTTTCCCTTCCCTTATCCTTCATCCCTAATGATTCCCTGATGTTTCTGTACTTGAATTCCCAAATTGGGACTTTGTGATAGGCTAGCAAGCATAACATGCAACTCTTGATGCCTAGCACTTAAGAGGTGACTATGACACTATTTTTCTTCTAGCCAAAACCCCCTTCCAACCTTCAGCTGCAAGGCAGAGAAATGTAGACAATGAGTTGCTGTAGACCCGGAAGAGGATGCCACCCCCTCCCCTGCCAAACCCACCCCATCCAGTACGCACATAGGGCACTCAGGTGGGCAAACACACAGGTTTGTACACACACACATGCACATGCACACACAAACACTGATGATCCATACCTATTTCTGCTTTCTTTTAGGCTTAAAGCCTTGATCAGGATAGGGAATTCTTGCTTATGAACAGCTCCAGAAACCGCAGCAGCAGATTCCCTCTCCCCTAACACTCAGGTTCAGGGTAAGCACCGCCAAGAGTCCAATCACTGGTCACTCTGAAATGTTCAGGAGGGGGAGGGAAGGAGAAATAAAAATGTCGTTTCTATGGTGCCACCAACAGCCAGCAGTTAACCAAACCACTCCTTCCGATGGAATGAATGACTTGTATCGTGATGCTTGGCTTTTAAGTGAGTGGCAGAGTCCATCTCCACTAGGGCTGGAAGGAAACCTCACTCTCCTGCAGCTGTGTTCAGGAGGTCATGTCAGATTCCAGGTGACGAAAAAGCTGAGCTCTGACACTGGAAAGGATCTTTCTGTCCTAGCCTCAGGACTCAGGAAAACCATCTCTGTAAGAATACCGGGTGATGACAAAAACTGTACCTACTGTTACCTTAGGGTACAACCACAAATTGTTGTTGGTTGTGGGGCAAGTTCATAAGGCTTACCAACTCACATTCCACAAAGGGTAGCAGTCATCATAAGGTAGGTTTTTGGTCAAAGGGAAAGCACTGCCAAACTCCCAATTTGACTGCCTCAGCCTCAAATGGGCAGAAGAAAAACAAAACTTCAGCCAGGTCATTAAGTATTTATTGCATATTGACTATTCCACACATTTGTCAGCCTCATTCTAGACATCATGAGGAATATAGAGACACACAAGATACACTTTCTGCCCTCATGGGGCTTACAATCTCTTAAACTGATTAATGGCCCATCCATTCTTGGTGGAGTAGGAAAGTTGACTGCCCTTCTCAATCCAACCACCAAACAGAAGATGTTTAACTTGCTTTCTCAGCTCTTCCTTGGCCCCAGGGTTTGAGCAAAAGGAATCTACAAGATTTTTATTTATGAAGATTAGGTGTAAATGCCCCACAGAATATAGATTTGAGACAATCTTCATATACAATTTCTACTTTGAACCACTGAAAAGTCCTCTAGGTCCAACTAAATTGTTATAAAATGTGGAAGTTTGTGTTTTAGGTAGATGTACATGATTCGTGTCATGGCCAAGCCTTGACTCATAAATACCATGTAAAGGAAAGGATGTCATCCACACCAGAGTTTCCATCAGAGGATCAAGGCAATGCAAAGGAAGCACAAGAGCACTTTTATATTTGGGGAGCTTGCCCACATTTTTCAAGTTAAAATAAATCTACAAAACCACACAGTGATCAATTTAACATTATTTCCTTGTAATCTTGCCAAAAATAATGTGAGAAGATATTTTAACAAGCCCAGAAATCTTGTCTTTCCAACTTATTTTGACCAATTGATAAGCATGATCAAGAGCAAAATTGCCTCTGATCTGCAAGGTGATTATTTTAGGGGTCCCTCCTCTAATTTCAAAGTAAAGGAATAACTTCAAATTGTAATCAAAGCTGAATTATAAACAAAGCTATGGTCAATAACTACTGTCCTACTGCCCACTTCTGAACAGAACATTTGTCTGTTTTTTAACTGAAACACCAGAAAATACCCAAGGCTTATAAATTTGAGCCCTGGAGAGAAACCAATGCACAATACTTTTCCAGAATTACTTAGATTCTCCATGATAATTGTGACTGTCTTTTCTCTGACAACCAGACTGGGAAAACTCAACTTGTCCCAAAGTCTCACTATCTATACTTAATTTTTGTCTGTTCTTCACATCCTTTTCAAAACTCAATTCACGTTATGTCATCTAAATAGACGATTCTCCCATACTCATTCCAGGCCATTTTTGATTTGTATTTCACAGGAGAAAATAAATCAGACCAAGATAAACCTTTGCAAAGTACTGTCCAGTTTGTTGTTATTTTTCTTAAAAGATTTTATGTTAATGTACATGTGAGGAGTCACATAAGAAGGAAAACATTACTCGATTTATTTACTAGAGAAAGGTAAAGATTTGTGTCATGCACAAGAACTAAAATAGAATGAATTCTGCAACTTTTAATCTGTTCACAGCTTTAATATCATGCCACTTCCAGGGATCTGACATCATCTTCAATCAATAAAATAACCCTGTTGCTCCTGGCCAAACATGCTTTCCTTTAGGAAGTTTGATAAGAACAGAATGGATATCTGTAGTTCTACTTTAAAAGAACAAATATGAATCTATCTATTCAGATCTTCTATGACAAGATGACAGCAAAGCCAAGCTAAATTCTTACTCCATTACTGGCCAATCCCAGTATACGTAAGAGGTTAAGCCAAACACATTAGTGAGCAACTAGCTGGGTCCCAAGTCAAGTTCCCCAAAAGTCAACATTACAAGATGGCCAGGAAAAATCAAATTTCCACTCTTCAAACAAATTTTGTAATATGCTTTAGATCTTTATGTATGTTCCTCCTATTTTGCCTTAACATTTAGAAAATTTTAAATTAGATCTATTGAATCTTAGACAATTTGTTGCATACAATTTTATGCCCAGCAAATAAGATGCAGCTACTTTAACATTTTTTATTGTAGCCAAGTGTCAGTGGCTCATGCCTGTAATCCTAACTACCCAGGAGGCTAAGATCTTAGGATCATGGTTTAAAGCCAGAATGGGCATTCTGAGACTCATTTCCAAGTAACTACCAAAAAAGTCAGAAGTGAAGCTGTAGCTTAAGTGGTAGAGAGCTAGCCTGAGCAAAAGAACTTGGGCCCTGAGTTGAAGCCTCAGAACCTGCACACAAAAAAGGATTTCGTTGCAATCATGCCCATGTATTTGTATATAACCTCTCTCTCACTTCCCCCCACCTCTCTCTCTCAAGCATACTTTTTCTTACAAACACCAAAAAAACGTGGAGAGGGCCCAGTGAATTCTCATACTCAGGTTTGTCCATATTGTGGCTTAAGGTGTCCTAGACAGTACCATTTACAGAAAACTTGCAACCCAGGATACACATTCACTTCCTTTGGGTGACATACAATACATTCTTATACATGTTTCTCTAAACTTTCTATGAATAATAGGGATGCTGTAAAAGTATCATGGTTAAAAGGCCTGGAGTCACTTTCCAGATGCTCAAGTCCTGTATCTATGGCCTATTAACTGGCCTTGTACCTGTCTCTTACGATTTTTAAAGAGATTAAGAGGACATATTCCATGTAAAGTGCTAAGTATATAGCTTAGTCCATGGTAAGGGGTCAATAAAATTTAGCTATTCTTATAATTATTATTTCAAAATAGTATTTTCTCTAAGATGTAGAGGCAATTTCATGAAGTAAAAAAAATTTTTTTAAACTTATTTGTAAGACAACTTTCTGACCATCAAAAGAATTGAGAGGAGGGAAAAAAAACTATTGAGGAACCCTTGGTGGTGTTCATACTCAGATGGAGATATGAAAGCTTGAAAGAGGTCAAAGAAAAGACCAGAATTTAAGTATTATAACTTCTAAGTCAAGGGCCTTTCCATTAAATAAGATATATAACACTATTAAGCTTCCACATTGAAGACATTTATTAAAGTGAATTGGTCCTGGATTCTTTTTTTTTTTTGCCAGTCCTGTGGCTTGAACTCTGGTCCTGGGCTGTCCCTAAGCAACTTTTGCTCAAAACTAGCAATCTACCACTTGAGCCACAGCAACATTTCCGGCTTTTTCTGTGATTAATTGGAGATAAGGGTCTCACAGACTTTCTTGGCAAAGCTGGCTTGGAACCATGATACACAAATCTCAGCCTCCTGAGCAGCTAGATTATAGGCATGAGCCACTGGTACCTGAGAAACCCTGGTTTTAAGAAACTATCAACCTGTTGCAAACACCAACTTCCCAGACATGTTGGAAATAGACTGCTGATGGTGATAGAAATATATAGAAGTATGTCATGAGGTCCTTCCAAAATATTTTCTTTAAGCCATGATGTACAAATCAGTCTGGGATAAATAGGAACGTCCTACTGGTCAGTATTTCCAGGGCCCTATTCTAAGTTTTCTGACCATCACACAAGCTTAGCAATTGCTTTTACTTAAGTCTGTCTGTACTAGATTAAGGAGAAAATTTAAAAGAGTTGCCAAACACTTTGCTCCTAACTTTACCTTTACTTACATTAAGCTCAAATTCTATTTCAAGAACCACAGTAAGACTTTGGCATTTCTGAATAAGTGATCATCACTGTCAGAGATCAAAGATAGTAACTCAAAGGCTTGGTCATTTTTTGGTGTCAGTTTTACTTTTACTGTGTGCTGAAGGAATTAACTTGAACATATTAATAGGTAACAAAAGTAATCCACTTGGAAGTGGATGTGAGTTACCCCTCTACTTCATCCTCTGGCACACCATACATTTCCAAAGAAGACTAGAGCATGCTATCACATTCCATTATGTATAGCATCAGAAAAAATATAAAGGACTTATAAAATCAAATTGATCATAAAAGAGGAAAGTTTAAGAGTTTGACAATTGTTTACCTAGCCTTCTGACTCCTATGACATACTACTCATTTTTATTCTCATTTATAAGTAAAATAAGCACAGCATGTAAATATTTATAAGAAAATAAATTTTTATAATCCCAACACATCAACTCAAGCATTGTTAATATCACAGAATATTCTCCTCAATTATTTCCATGTGATTTTTATTATTATTATTATTATTATTATTGTCAGTCGTGGGGCTTGAACTCTGCGCCTGGGCGCTGTCCCTCAGCTTTTCAGCTCAAGGCGAGCACTCTACCACTTCTGATTTTCTGGTGGTTTATTGGAGATAAGACTCTCATAGACTTTTCCTGCCTGGGCTGGTTTTGAACCACAATCCTCAGATCTCAATCTCCTGAGTAGTTAGGATTACAGATGTGAGCCACCAGCACCCAGCTCCATGTGATTTTTACCAAGCAATGAAATACTAATGCACACATAATTTAGGATGAAGCATTATATTTATTATAAGCATCTTCTCCATTTTGTGGCATAAAATCCATAACAAACAGTGCAATGGTTATAATAGCCCACTAAAAGAAATGTGTCAAATTTTACTTACCTGTTTTATTAAAGCATTAAAGCAGCTTCCAACCTTGTTCTAGTCTAAATAGTCTTCAAATATTTTTAAAATGTCTTTGTGATTTGATGATTTATCTTTTTCACTATTTTGAATTGTTTCATAGTGATAGAATCCAACAACTAAAAGTAATTGTTCAAGCAATATGAATATTTTTGAAAGCTACCAAAAATAAAACTAACGCCAAAGCTCCAAGAAATCTATCTCTCATGTCGTTAAAAGTTCCCATGCTCCCATATTCCACCAGGGCTGAGCAGGGCTCAGAGGATGGAGAGAAGCCAGAGAAGCAGTCAGTGTAGTATCCTAGTGACTTGCGAAATGGCAGAGTGGAATGTAGGCTCCCCTGTGAATCTAGCTTGCATGCACTTGCCCCAAATTGCTACATGGCCAAGAAGCTAATTAGTAAAGGCATCAGGTGGGTGAGAACAGGTTCATGGCCTGTAATAGCTTATATCATCTTTCATTTTTGCCCTTGGAAAGATCTGACAGTCAGCGTGAAGACATTCAGTTCTAGTGACCCAAGCTGTTACATTCTGAGAACCAAATTTGTTAGTTTTCAGATCTCAAACTTCAATATGTCCTAAAGGGCATTTTTGCTGTGTAGAACCAAATACACATGAGCAATAAGCCTGCATGCTTACCTGTATTTGAAGTCTCATTTAAGGTGACACTTTAAGGTTAGTCCTGTTTATTAATAAGTGTTGCCTATCTTAAAATGTATTACAGAGATTTATTTGCAGACTAGACAATTAAAGGCATCTACTCCTGAGTCAGGGAAGGCTGCAGGCCAGAGTTGCCCTTGGGTTAGTAAGAGCAAATATGAGGGGCATTTCTTTCCTTCATTTCATTTCAAGAGCTCTCAGAAAAGTACAGTTCTGTTTTCCACATACCCCTTGATGTTTTTTCTCTAATGCTTCTGCATGAACCACTATACTCAATAGGGAACGAGGCTTTATACATATCTTCATTACTATACTGATCACAGCATATTTTCTACAGACATTTAGTGAGCACTAACTGTATCCAAACACTGTGCTAGGTAAGCCCTGAGGGAGGAAAAAAACAACAAAGAAAACAGGCCAGTCCTTCAAGTAGCTCCTGGGCAAGCCTCGTTGGTGCAATTTAATGAGAAAACACATGTATGATGAACAGATATCTGTGGTAACAATGAGTACTGTTCATCCCCCCAAAAAACCTCTGAGCTTAGAACTGGAATTTAATGACCAATCTAATGTAACAGACAGAATGAGCTCATTAGCATATGTGTACCAGCTGAGGTCAAAAGACATACAATTAGTAAAGACGGACCACAACCATGCATGAAACTAAGGAAGAACCACCGAAAAAATTGACCATTCATTGACCAGGCACTTTGGAAATGTGCAGGTGAAAGAAATTCCATTTATTGCATTGCTTATCCCCCATATAGCTTCAATATAGATCTTGCTCCAGAGATGGATACTCATCCACAAGGCAGAGAATAAAAGAAGCTAATTCTCTCATTTACAATTCTAAGGGTCAGGAAGAAATTGAGTTAAATTTGAAATGCAAGTGGAAATTGCTGGACTATGATCATAGAGATTATGGGCTGGGTGTATGACTTTTTTCACTGTGTGTGTCCCAACACTTAAAATGCTTACTGGTACATACAAGGTACTTAACAACTGCCTAATGAGAGAATAACTTCTCAGAGATTTTGCTAGGGGCAACAGCAGAAAGAAAAAAATTGAAGACATAAAATAATAATAATAATAATAATTACCTTTATTTCTCAGCCTTCCAAGGAGTCAAAAGCTCTTTCACTTCTGTTATCCCTCTCAGCAGTTGTGTGCTGAAATAAAGATACGGTTAATTCCATTTTATAACTAGAGAAGTTCAAGTCCGGAACAGATAGCTAACATTAACTAATTTGTTCACTTTCACTTATTGCTCTCCGGTAGGACCAGCATCAAAGCCCAGGTCTTGTGACTTTCTACCCTGTGTTTTACTGTAATACAAAACCCTCCACAAATTATCTCTCTGATTTTTATGAAGTCAGTTCACAAGAGGACTTTGCCCAAAAAGCCAAACCCTCTCTCAGCACTGCAACAGTACCTTGAGCAAGTGGGCGCAGTATAACTTAAAAGAAAATACCTGTCATTTCTCCAAGCCAACACTGGTCAGAAAGCTACAGGGACTTCCACTAACAATTTGTAGCTCCCGTAACCCTTTTGAAGTAAGCCTTTCTGCCTCCACTCCAGTTTTGTGTCTGAGAGTAGCTCAGGTGCTGACTGCAGGTGTGGCATCCAGCAGGTGCATGGACAGAAGCCAGCATTTTATATCTTCATGCCAAAGAGTCTGAGTCATTCTTCCAAGGCAGAAACATCCCCTCCTGCTGCTGCTGGTCTATTTGCAAGTACGGTAGCCTGATTTGACTAAGTTACCATTACATAACTGAATCTAGACCCTGTCTTACCACAGAGGACCAGGGTGATGTTGGCTAAGCCATAAATCCTATCACCCCGCCAACTTGCCCACTTGCAGAAACTTCAGGCATGCAAGGGGATAGCATCAAGGAATAGGATTATACAGATTGTCCATCCGTATAATTAGTTACAGAAAAAAGGAGGATTTCTGCAGGCCCACATTTATATGCTGTGGCAGAACATCTATTCTACTACATCTCTGAAACATCAAAAGCGAGTCTTCATCCTCCTAAAATGATGGAATACAATATAAAAAACATGCTTAGAAGCTTGTGCAATACTCCCAGCATATCTCCTCTTTCGGACTAACAAGGGAGAAGAGTTTAGCCTGTTCATAAAAAAGGCACCAGGTCAGAAAACCCATGACGTTTCTTTAACTTAAGCCTAACTGGGAGCCTAGGGCAGAAAAAGAAATGCACTTGGAGGCAAAGGAGGTCAAGGAGTCATCAATATTTTCTTAGCTTCCCAAATTATTTACTTTAAAAAAACGATAGACCTCCTCAATCCATCCATCCATAGCCACACCTCAGAGCGATGGGAAAATATAAAAAGAAAGTCAAATATTATCTTAATAAAATGGCTTATTATGATTCACTATTTCTCCAATTCACAAGGAAAATGCAAATCAGTGTACTATAGTTTATAGCTCATGATGTAGAAAAGAAAACTGGCAAGTAAATGAAAATATGATTATTGTATATAAAGGAAATAGAAAATTTAAATGTATATAAACAGGAAATTAGATTTCTTCAAAATAATTTTCCCCATTTGTGATTTTGGTCATAATTGCTATCACATAGAAAAAAAATGTCACTAATTCTTCGCAAGCCCGTGCCCTTTAAAAAAACAACCAAAATGAATAAGGGATACACTAATTAGCTTCTTAATGCAGATGGTTTTAATTGAACTACTCTATAACAATCTTCATCAAAGTTTCCAGGGCAACTTCATATAAGGATATCAAACCTGGCTCATATTTTTATTCCTTAAAAATTATTCGCAGTAAAGAGAAACACAGAAAACTGATTTCTTTTCAAAACTGTTAACACTCAGGCCACTACATTTTCTGATGTCAGCAATCCCCTTCCCACAAATATTCCAAGTATGCACCACCGTCATTCTCCTTTCAATTATGTGGTTTCTCTGCTCCTTTACTGATTGAGCCCAGGCCTCTTGGATAATGAGAAGCATGTGCAAGGAAAATATGCTCTTAAAAAACACATACATCAGTTTCATCTGAATTATAAAGGAGGAGCCCATCATTTGTCCCTATCAAAAGGATCAAAATGTAAAGTTTGTTATGGGATATTATAAGGGAAAACCAGATCAGCATCAATGATGAAGGGGGGGGCAGATATTTGATCTGAAGAAATGTCAATAAAAATAAAAGGATCTCTTCTCCCCTCCCCTCCCCTCCCCACCCCTGGCCCAGTTCACCCTTTCTAGCAAGGCCACATTTATATTTAATGTTATCTTAATGTTGCCTTGGGGGGTATTTAAGTTCTGACATATGCATGGAAATGAGCCATGAATTGTGCAGCAAGCATAAATATCTCATCATTAATAGAAACCAGCTGTGCAAAAAACATTACAATGGCCAAGTTTCAGTTATTGTCAGTATTTGTCACAAGCAAATACTACTTAAAACTTTCTCCCTTAAAATGTGGACATAGAAATTTGCTTGACTCAGTAGCATTAACTTCACTGATTACAGCTGAGGTTTCTTTTTAAAGTTACTTTTAATCACCCTGGAAGTCGCTAGAATTCTATCAGTTATAACTCATCACAAAATATGAAAAAAGTTTATTTTATTTCAAAAAGCTGAGTGGGTCAATAATGCAAATGTAGGGTCAATATTAATTATAGTCAGTAAGGCAATGGGCACCATAGGGCATTGTATGTTATAAGCAAGTAAAGCTCATTAAAAGTGAACACCTGCTCAGGACCCTATAATAAGCCTGATCTGCCATCATGCAAACACCTTTCATCCAATGACCTCAAAGCATGTGTTCAATATGAAGCATGCCGAAACACCTCTGCAAAGTATTAATATCCTTGCTTCCCAGAAGGGTAACTGAAGCTTAGAGCAGCTAATTCAGCTACCCTTGGTCACATGGCAAGTCAGAGAGGGGCTGGGCAAAGGAATCCAGCTCCTGGCTTCAAGTCACACAGTCTAATGCCATCTAATGGAGCTGAGTCAAGAGTGAAAGTGACTTTACAAATGTCAAAAAAAGTTTGTAAAGTTTTTGAAATGGTAGGTTTTTGTTTTTGTTTTTGCAAGAATTGCCTTTGGGAAAGCACATTGGTATGGCCACCTATATTTTCCCATCTGTAAACTCATTATATATAGATATAGATATATCTATCTTTATATATCTATATATATGGGCAGCAAGGTTTTTTGGATTTTTTTGTCAGTCATAGGGCTTGAACTCTGGGCCTGGGCACTGTCCCTCAGCTCTTCAGCTCAAGGCAAGCACTCTGCCACTTGAGCCACAGTGCCACTTATAGTTTTCTGGTGGTTAATTGGAGGCACAAGTGATTTTTTCTTTCTTGCTATTGTTTTTAACATACTTATAATGTACTATGCGATGTTTTTTTTTGTTTCTCTTGTATGTTCCTCCCCCACGTTATAACCCCTGTTGTCACTGTATTTGATTCCAGTGCCCTGCATCTTGTATATGCATTTTTATAATTTGGAGAGGGAAAGGGAAATAACAAAATGCTTAAATAAGGATACAGGTTGACCCATTGTAACAATGAGATGTACAAGACACTATGTTGAAAATGAACTTTACAGCTTTTGGGGGCAGGGAGGGAGGAGTTGGGAGGTGGGGAGGGAAGGAAGGGGAAGGGAAAAACAAAGGAGGAGGTAACAAAATGCTCAATAGGAAATGTACTCATTACCTTAATCATGTAACTGTAACCCCTCTGTACAGTATTTTTACAATAAAAAACATATTTAAAAAAAGAGTCTCATGGACTTTCCAGCCCAGGCTGGCTTTGAACTGCAATCCTCAGATCTCAGCCTCCTGAGTAGCTAGGATTAAAGGCATGAGCCACCAGCACCCACCCAGCAAGTTTTTGTTTTTGTTTTTGCTTTGTGGTCCGGTCATGGGACCTGAACTCTGGGCCTGGGCACTGTCCCTCAGTTCTTCAGCTCAAGGCTAGTGCTCTACCACTCTTGAGCCACAGCGCCACTTCCGGCTTTTTTCTTTTTTGCTTATATGGTACTGAGGAATTGAACCCAAGGCCTCATTTATGCAAGGCAAGCGCTCTACCACTGAGCCACCTTCCCAGCCCGTAAGTTTTTTATATGATTATTAAAAAACCTTGTTGCCCTCTTTCTTCTGTTTATTTATATATAATATATTATATATACTATATATACTTATATATAATACTTATATATAATATATAACATATAAAAAATCTTTCCTGTCCATGTTTCTTCGGATTATCTTAATATATATTGAATTATAGGATTTTTTCTATAAATTGAAGTATTTTATCTATAAAATTTTTCAAAATATCTTTGAGATGGAATTTTTTAATTTTGATACATTAAAATGATCAATTTCTTAACCTAAATGACTTTGGTTTTCTTACTAAAAATGAATCTTGCTTAACCTTAAATAGACATACTTGATACATACCATTCTCATAAAAAGAATAGCCTCTTACTATCAGCAAATAAATTCACCTGCATTTTTACCATGAGCACATACTATAAGAAATATTAACAGCTGGCCACCAGTGGCTCACATATTTAATACTAGCTACTCAGAAGGCTGAGATATGATGATGAGGGTTTGAAGCCAGCCTGACCTGAGCAAGTCTGTAAGAGACTCTTATCTCCAATTAACCACCCAAAAAGCCAGAGTTAGAGTTGTGGCTCAAGTGGTAGAGTACTAGCCTTGAGTAAAAAATGCTCAGGGATAGTACCTAACCCGAGTTCAAGCACCATGACCGACCAAAACAAAACAAAAACCATTCCTACAAAGATCCACTGCTTTGAGAAAAGAATCCATCAAAATTGAAAATTACATGTCATCTACATCTTTATCAAAGGAAAACTGAAGGTATATAGAACTTTATCTTAACAACTTGTTCAATCTCTCAAATGAAGAACCTATTTGTGTGGACCATTAGGACTTTTACATGTTTTATATTTAATTGACTCCAAACCTTGGTCATCTTACAGTTTTTGCAGTCTGATTTATACATATTCTTTATGAAACTCTAAAACAAATTTATTACCTTCCTGCTTCTCTGTTCTCATTCTAGAAATTTCACAATCCATACAAATTTATATGTTCCTGATAGGATATCATGATACAGTTACATAAAAATCATTTCCACTAATTTAGACAAAATAAACAGAACTAGTTTTTGAATTTTTTTCTTTTTGCATGTAAAGATACATAAATAACAAAGTGTTTAGGGATTACTTAAAGTCTTTAAATCTAATACTCTTTGTGTTTAAGAAACAAAATCTATGGGATCCTTCATACAATCTTGATTAAGTTCTGCCTTCATTCCTCCATACTAGTCTACAAAGTTATGTCTTAGGTGAGTTGTTATTTAAAATATAGCATGTTTTAAAATTCTTATATGCATATTTATATATGTCATATATACTATGTAAAATTCACATTGTTACAGGAACCAACATTCACACACCTGTAAATCCCAGCTATTCAAGAGGCTGAGATCTGAGGGTCCCAGGTCTGAGCAAGCCAGGGGCAGATGGGGGCAGTAATGTCTGGAACAGAAAAGTCTAATTAACCATCAAAAGGCCAAAGGTGTCACTCTGATGGTACATAAATGGACACATGCACAGTGTGTAAATGGACACATTAAATTGTAACCCCCTTGTACAATGCTTTGAAGATTAAAAAACATTTTTTAAGTCAAAGTGTAGGTGTGGCTCAAGCAGTAGTGCCTTAGCCTTGATTTTAAAAGCCAAGTAAGTGTGCAAAGCCCTGAGTTCAATCCCCAATACTGGTAAATGCACACATTTTTTAATGAAAGAAACTAGAAAACATGAATGAAATTTTTTACGGGGTTTCCAACAATCTTAGCTTTTTTATTTTGATACTAAAATATAAAACATAACACATTTCTATTCATATATCCTTACAGGCTCTGTACAGGATAACTACATGTTTGTATTTCTAACCACCAACGTACCTTATTCTAGTAGTAATCATTCATATTCGTACCAGATATCAAAGCTTAGAAAGAGAAGCATAAACTTTTGAGAACAGGCTCTCAAAATCACCCTGCCCAACCTGCACAATTTATATAGGAAGGAACTTTGCCAAGTGTGGTAAACCAAGTTAGAGCTGGGCCTATAGCCCAGGTTCCTTTCACCAACAGGCCCACTCAGAAAACTTATCATAGATTCTTAGATTTAAAATAGCACCAGTTGTCATTATTTACTAAACAAAATTTTCTGGATCCTTGGGTTAGTCAACTATAATAACTAGAAATAAAACACTTTACCTAAATTTAGGTAGGTACTCCTGTCCTTACATTTATTCTCTTAAAAACTAATACCAGCTCCCTCCTACAAGTACTTGTGAGCCAAGGCAAACATTGCCAGTATTATTATAAGCCAGAACTGATTAAGACAATTAACTCTATCCCATGTAACAAAAAAACATTAAAAGCCAAATAATGGCCTCATTTAATTCAAGCAATAATCATGGCAATACATTCTATTTTTGCAATAGAATTCTTTCAATAAATGTGTTCCTGAAAAAGCCCAGTTCAAAAAAATTTTAATTAAGTCAGATTAAAGGCTCGAACTAGAAAAACTAGTTCTTTGAGACAGACCTGTTGCAGATTCTTTTATAAAGCAAATAACCTATTTTCTTTATCTTTTCTCTTTTTCTTACTTTTTTTTTTGTTTAGATTGTGTGTGTTGTATGTGGAGCTGGCAACTTCCCTCCTTTCTCTGGGTTAAAAAGAGTCAAAAGCCCACTATGGAGGAGAGTCATGCAGTATGGTCAGTTTCTTTAATGTCCTCTTAGTTTCTGGGACCAGACTCTAACCTTTGACTTGGACCAAAGTCCACAAAAGGCAGCAATGAATGAAAAGTAAGTAAGACTAAAGACAACACATCATAGTAAAACACCAACAAAAATTCCTGGGGACAGGAAATCAATAGATCACAATTCTAAACAAATTGGTTTAGTCCTCAGCTAATTAACTTGTCAAGCCAATCTTTAAATGCACTGAATCTATAGGAGAAAGAGATGATGTAATAGGAGATTTGGAAACATTTAGCCATTTACTATCCTAAAAGACTCAGCCACAACCACACACACCTCTCTCCACCCCTTTCAGGGGGTTTAAGCTGGCCTTAATGGGTGCAAAGGACAATTTCTACCAAGGCAGTCTCAAAGAATAAACCGTTCTCATGCATTTCAAATGTTCAGTCTCCATGGAAGAGGCTACCTGGCCACAAGCATTTCCCAAGTGGAAATATAGTCTTCATGGGTAATACTCCCCCACACTCTGTTACCCTAAATAAAACAAAATTTCTAACCATCCTGAGGACTTTGGGGAAATTTTCTGGGGTAAAGGAAAATAAATGTTAAGAAGGAACCAGGAGAGTGTGAGAAACTCCTGTTTCCAAATGGAAAACAAGGCCTTAAAAGCTGGATCAAAGGAAGAAAGGGGGATGGGGAAGACAAGCTGCTTAATTACAAAGACACCCTTTTAAAAGAGACACAGGCCCTGGGAGAGGGCTCTTAGGAGAGGCCCAGAAGCAGATGTACCCACTTAGAATTCTGGTACTAGATGGGACCTCAAAGTCACAGCATCCATCCCTCTACCTTCCCTTGCTATTAGAAGATTCTTAAAACATTCTTGAAAAGCATGCTTCATTCTTTACAAATCTCCAGGAAAAACAATTCTCCAAAATACTCTATGCCTTAGGCTAATAAAAACTACTTCATAAATTAAAAAATTAGATTTTAAGGTCCAAATTCCAAACAGTATTGAATATACATTTTTTATATTCCCTTTCTCTTACTGTTTTCATAAACAGATCCACAATGTCCACACAAAAGTTACTCTATATATAAGAATGGTAACGGGTTTACTTCACATCTAGAGTGTAAAGAAAAGAAAAGTACATCGAATTTTAGAGACATAAATGTTTCCAAAGAAAGAAGTAACTTAAAATTAAGTATGATGTAGGGCCAGAAAGTGTCTGTAAATGACACCCGGGTAAACCCATACAGAATAGCTGGAACCTGAGTTATCATCTGTAAATAGATGCGACTACTCTACAACCACCTGGCTATTAAAATGTCCCAGGCCAGTTTTAAAATGTAGTTTGGTCAGGCCATATTTTCACTCCCAGCTGATCTAAAACATGATAGCCTTTAAATTTTTCACCATATATTGTTCCTTTTCTACCTTTCTGCTTTCTCTTTCCCTATTAAATATAAACTAAAGAAATTATTTGAAAATATAAGTACATAATTTGTTCCTTAAGAAACGTAAAGGGTTAGGGGGAGAGTAATCTCAGCAATAGATCTTTGAACACCATCATTCTAACAAGCTTGAGGCATTTATCCAATTGAAGATATGTGGGAGATGGGTAGAAATGTATCCCATGTTCAAAATGGCACTTTGGACTATTCTTAGCTGCTAAATGAGGGTACTGAAAGGTCTAACTTAGGAGGCCTCACAAAAGCTGGCCTGGGAAGGAACTTCTCACAAAGCCTAGCTCAAGGAGACTTAAATACCCTTAGCCCTTCATCACTGAAGATTATGGTGAGCAATTAGGTTCTCTGAATGGGAGGTTATATTCATAAAAGTTTTAAACTGTTCCCAATGTCCACTCCTTATGGGAAGGAAAAGACAAGGACTGAACTAAACCCCTCAAGTCAGAATATTCTTGCCAAAATACATGTGGGAATTTGAAAATGCTTTCTCACAATTTTCCTTTGAGCAACCTCTCCCGTGCACGCTCTCCTCCATCCCCTAGTTAATTTAGTATCTTCCTGCAAATTATTAGTTTATTATTAATGGCAATTCACCAAGGACTACTCACAGTCTGTAAAGATTGTCAGCTTCTATCCCAGTTTTCTTTCCTTCATTTTCATAGATCCATGAAGTCTGTGTTACTGTTAAAAGCAGCAACAAGTGCTTGAACTCTCAAGACACCTGCGTGATCTTCCAAAGGGTCTCACATCGTCGGGTTTTATAATGCAAATAAGGCAGCCCTACCACCACACAAGTACGTACAAGGGTTGTAGCATTGTAGACTAATCTCAGACTTTAAAACTTCAAGAATTCACGGCCTCGGGGTGAAAGAGAGTGAGCTCCCACCTCAGTACGTGCATTCTTAAGAGAAAGCTGTTAGATAAGTAGCCATACCTAGGGGCTAGGTAGACACCGGCTTCCCTTTCGTCTTTAGTTCAAGTAATATATAGAGACCTAGAAGGACCCCTGGAGGTAAGAAAATACCACCGTAGTGGTTTGGTCTAGCGTCTCTCCAAGTGAGACTGAAGAGCAGCGCATACTCTTTTAACAGATTTAATTCGCTGCACATCCCGGAAAACGCACGGCCGGCTGCAAAGAAAGTATAACTCACGGGCATCCAACCCACATGCATCTAGACCAGTTCAGTCACGCCAAGTGTACGATCAAGTTCGCACCAGCACCACGGATCCCTGCCCCACTTCCCCGCAAAAAGTAACCACGCGTCTCCTACCCCTGAAGGCAACGAAGACAAGGTGCCAGACTGTGCTCGCTCAAGTGGCTGTGGTTCCGAGCCAGCGGCCAGGGATGGGCAGTGGGGAGAGCCCCAGCTCCCGGCTGCTACCTCCTCGCTGCTCTGTCCGGGTTCTCCTTGGTGGCAGCGGACAGGCTGACAATGGGGCCAGAGGGTGGAGCAGCGAGCGGGTGGTGAGAGGAGAGACAGACGAGAGGTGGTGGTAGTGGGGCGGGGGATAAGACCTCAGAGAAGGCGAAAGAGAGAGAGCGGAGAAGGAGAAGTTAACTCAGGGATCTACCAGTGTAAGCAGCCCGAAAGCTCCTAGGAAGGAAGGGGCGTGACTGCGAAGAAGGCAGCTCCAGAGCAAAGGATGAGAGGTAGGGGAGGGGGAGGAATGAGTGGCTTTTCTTCTTGCGGTGAGCAGCTAGGACCGCCCAGAAAAAGGGGTGGACTATGGAGGGAGGTGGAGCGAGAAGAGGGCGGGGAAAGAAGGGCGGCAGCCTGCCCCGACCCTGGAAGGGAGGGGGGCGGGCGCGGAAGAAAGGCGGGGCTCGGGGGCGGGGAAGTTTCAAACAATTGAACGGCGCTAGCTCTTATCCTCCCACTAGTAAGACACGACCTGATTATAGCAGCCCAGAGTCTTACCTAGGCACTCGCCTGGAAAAAGGAAGAGGGTTTGCAAAGACTACAAGAATAATCGACAGCAACTGCGTAGCCAAGTTGCGTGGGAGAGCCTGTGAAGCCAACCGCCCTGCGGCGAGAGGAAGAAAAACAAATAGAAATGCTGAAAAGCAGCTTCGACCAAATCCTGCTTTAAATAATTCAGGAAGGAGCAGTGCTCCTTTTTCCTTCCCCTCTTGCTTCCTTTTACCAGCAGGCCCCCACCCAGGTCACAGCTCTGCGTGACACCCTCCTTTCTTCCTTTGCTGCCCCAGCCCCCCCCCCCCCCCTTTCTTACCCCTTCTTTGCCCTCCTCCAGTCAACCCAGGGCTCTAGCCCACCTCCTGCTGGCAGGCCTCGCGGACGGGGGTGGGAGGCGGGCGGAGCTTCATGCAAGACGCTCCTCCTTCTTGGAGGGTTGGAAGTGTTTGGCTGGGCGGAGCGAGCTCAGCAGTATAAGCCCCACCCACATTTTCTTTTCTTTCTTTCTGGGTTTTTTTTTTTTTTTAATTGCGACTAGGAATTGGCCAGTGCTAGCCTGGAGTTCGCCTGCGATTGGTCCCTTGGGTCGCCAATACGATTCTTTTGTCCCACCCGCCTTCAAAATTAATAAAACTAAACAAGAGACTATTGTCTAGCTCTCTGTTCTCCCCAAGCTGCTGCTGGGAATAGAAAGATGAGACGCTTGATTTCTTAGACTCGTAAAAGAGTGAGACAGTGTGTCGGAGACTCTGGTACACCTTTACTTTTGTAACACTGTCCAGCCCTTTGGGAATAGGTAACTTTTCCCTCTAAATTTGTAAAACCAGGAGGGGAAAAGTGCACGAAGTGCCCACATTTCCTGTCTGCCAAAAAATTGATGTTGCTTAAAAACACGGAAGTTTGAGTAGAACAGCATCCTGGGACACAGAAAAATCTACCATTTTACATTTGTAAAAACGAAAGCACAAGGAAGCAGTGTAGGGGTAACAAAATAACATGGAATTTGGAACCAAAGGAAGAATTCATTGTGGGCCCTGGCACTTATTAGCTAACTGTGCGACTTTTAAGTGGCTTGACTTCTCAGCTCTAATTTTCCTATCTGTAAATAAATGCTATAAGACATGCCATATTAACTTAATGACACTGGTGTGGAAATAAAAGGAAACGTGTAAACTGTAAACCACAAAACAGTCCATACATCTATCTGTTCTACTTGTGTGTGACACACAGTGCATAGTTTCATGTGTTTGAGAATCAAAATATTCCACTCATCTGTTTTAAACATTTATATCCAAGATTGTGTAGGGTTTCTGGCTTTCTTTTTTTAATGTCAACACTTTGCCTCAAGTTTTTTTTTGGGGGGGGGGGAGTTATAAAATTGGGTCCAGGATTTTAGAATAATAAATTACTCCTTTTCTAACCATGGTGGGTGAGGTTTTTCTTTTTCATATGGCTCTGCAATTGTGCCACGATCTAAATCTATTGTGGTACTGGTAGTGAAAGAGGAAATCATGCAGCATATTTCCAAAGTGAACTTGAGAAAACAAATATGAAGGAACATTTTCCATGGAAACTACCATTCTCTACAGATCTGTATTCCCTAGAAAACAGTTTGAAGCAAGACTAAATGTAAAGGCCTTGTCAACAGAGCTATTATCATGAATTCAAGTCAGTGGAAGAGTAATCCATCTCAAGCCTACCAAACATGGAGCCTTCCGAGGAATCAAGGCATGCTAGAGGAAGGGTGCCCAAATGAAACAGCATCTATGGAGAGCAGAGTCTCAGAATAATACAGGAAGCATGGTGGGTGGATGGCTTCTTATGGAGTGCACAGTATACTCTAGCTAGGTGCTGCTGATTCAGAAGTAGAACGTTGGAAATTGGATTTGGAATATGAGTTGCTTTATGTATGAAATGAGGCTATCTGGGTGAGTTTTCATAAGGTGATGGTATCTGGGTGAGTTTTCATAAGGAAGGTGAATTTTTCCTGAATTTTTCAATATTTAGGACATGGACACATCTGATTTATGAAGCAAGATTATTCCAGGCTTGTTATTTGGAGACACGGGAATGAGATAGCCAGGCACTGGTGGCTCATGCCTGTAATCCTACTTAGGAGGTTGAGATCTCAGTGTGGTTCAAAGCCAGTCCTGGGAAGGAAAATCCAATTAACAATTAAAAAGAAGCCAGAAGTGAAGTTGTGGCTCAAGTGGTAGACTGTTAGCCTTGAGCAAAAAAAAAAATAGAAAAAAAAAACTAAGGGACAGCACCCAGGTCCTAAGTCCAAGTTCCACGACAGGGAGGCACACGTTCAACACACATACACACACACACACACACACACACACACACACACACACACGAGGAGACCTAGAGATGGTAGTAATAGTTTCGAGAATCACTGAGATTGGGATGGGTTGTTAAAATCAATAATGCTGTTAAAATGAAATTGGTAAAATATGCACATGGTAAAGCAACATTAGAACTGTACTAAAAGTACAGAATCAAGCTTCTCCCCACCATTCTACTTGCCTTTTGGTGCCTTATAACCAGCACATGCATTCGATTTACTCTAAAGTGTATCTTAATGTTCTTCCAGCTCCATATAGCTACCTCTTTTTCATGTTAAGTCAGGATTTCATTGCAAAGATGAACAAAAATTATTTTACTCATTTTCTCCTTAAGAGGATATTTAGGCTATTTCTCATCATATGTCACTACAGGAGATGCCAGCAAAAATCTGGTAGCAAAGGGCTTTTAATTATGTCAGTAATATGCCTACCCTTAGCTTTAAATTAGGTTCTCGCAAAAGACTTTCCTATATCCCTTTCCCATAGGAGTCTACTATGAAAACCCCTAAAGTCAACTTTTTCACCATCCCTTTCTCAAACACTGCCTAGAGGCATGCTGCTTTAGCACATGCAAATTTTGATACAGAACCAGGCTGTGTGAATCACTTCTTAGTCTGTAGCAAACAATAGATTTTTGGGTGCCCCAATTTTTTTCCTAGTCTTTCAAGTGTCTTAGACATTCCTTCTCTCCTGCCATGCTAGACTTCCTGTGTTTTTACCTTGAAAACCTCTCAGTTTGTTTAACTGAGTTTCAATTTAAAGCTATGCGTTGCCTACACTAGTTAAAAGGGCAGGAGTGGGAGGGGGTGGCTAACATCAACAAACATCACTGAACTGCTATTATGGACAGGACTGAAACAACAAAGAAGTAAGAGACTTGGCTCTTGCCTTCCAGGATATATACATAAAAAGACAACTAACAAGCATATTCTAAGTGCTAAATGAATGGTATTGACAGTAAAAGCTGTGGAAGTTAAGAGCAAGGAGTGAAAACTAGTTCCAGAGCGTGAGTTTGTACAACAAAATATGCCACACACATTTAACTAATCCCCACAGCATCCCTATGTCTTCACGTCCTGACTATAAAATATGGAAAGCCCTCTGGGGGATACCAGGAGAATTAACCACTAGCTGCAAAACACCTGTGTAAAGACAGTGGGATACCTAAGTACTGCATGTTAATATTCCCCATATAACTATATGAAAAAAGGGATCATTTTCAGCTTAGAACTCAAGATTCTCTTAGACTACCTGTCTTGTTTGATCCTTTATCATAAAATAATAAAAATCAATGTCTTCTCTCTAAAAAGTCTACTTTTTAAAAACAAATGTCTGCTTTTTACATGTAAAAAAACATGACTCAAAAGGACAAATATATGATTTCACTTATGAGGGACATTCTTAGAGACAGAAAGTACAGTTTATAAGATCTAAGGTTGGGAGAAGGAGAATGGAAGATAGTTTTTAATAGGGTTAGTTTCTTTTTTTCCTTTTGTGCCAGTATTGGATTTGAATTCAGGGCCTGGGTACTGTTTCTTAGTTTTTCTACTGAAGGCTCATGATCTACCACTTGAATCACAGCTCCACTTCTGGCCTTTTGGTGGTAAGAGTCTTATGGATTTTCCTGCCTGGCCTGACTTCAAAGTGTTATCTTCAAATCACAGTCTCTTGAGTAGCTAGGATTATAGGGAAGAACAACTGGCTCCTGGCTAAGAACAATTTCTGTTTGAGATGATGAAAAACTTTGTAAACATAATAGTGATGGTTGCACGACATTGTAAATGTAATTAAAGTCAATACCACTGATGAAAACTACCAATAAATTGAAGACAAGACCCCTGGGAAGAGGAACAACCTGATCATCACCATAGGGTAACACAGGCCCATGCAACCAAAACTTCTATTCTTTTTTTTTGTTCAATATTACAAAACTTTATTGTGAAAACAAAACACATGTAAGCTAAAATTAAAAATTATAGCTACTCTCACCACACAAAACTTGGTATTTTAGCAAAAACTGAAATTCACCTTTTCTTTTTTTACAAAAATGACATAATTTAGATTTTTAGGTAAGTTAGGAATATCTTGTATTGACCATGAGCATATTGGCTTATCCAATACATGAGGTATTCTATAATTCCAGTATATGAGCTATTGTATAATTCTAGTATATTAGGTATTCTATATTAGGTATCCAGTAACACTATCAGTTGCAAAACTTCTATTTTTAAAAGAGAAACTAGAAATCAAATACATTTAATGTGACATCTTCTAGTTTTAAATTTTGGCAATTACTAAACGTCTTAAAGAAAAGAAATCTGCCCTTCATCTCCAAATTTTCCTATGAACAGGAGAAGCAGGTAGAAGAGGGCA